TGTTTTTATTATTTATATATTTTTTTGTTTGTTATTTTTTGTGGATTTGTGTTTTCGTCTTCAGAATTTGTTGACACGGTGGTACCAAACTCTTTATGTAAACGCTTTCTTCTTTCTGGTGTTGTGACTTAAAATGTCCTTGTCAGTCATTAAAATTTTGATTACTACACCAAAGAATTTGGTACCAAGGGATTTCAAAAGCCAAATTTTGAAGACGAAATTGCGAAATGGTGTTCCATTGGTTTCTTTTTATAAACAGATGAGTGTGTAAATCGTAGCAGGCCAACGTAGCGTTGAAATGCTATGTTAAAATTAACAGATGCGTAAGCGCAAAGTGAGTCGCGTAAGTGCAAAAATGAGTAACGATGAGCCGAGCACTGCTCGGCAAGCAGTGCAAACCAGACAAGTGCTCCTTTCCGCACTTACATTTCCCAATGCGAAGTTATCGGTTCTATTCGATAAGCACAATTTCTTGCATTATTTTTAAAATTAGTGCGCATTTTTGCGTAACAGCAGGCTAACATTAGAGATGTGCGATACTGTGACCGGGGCCACTGTTAACCTTAAAAATACAAACATCGGCAGTTATGATTATTTTAAGTGAAGGCAGAATCCAAGTCCACAATACTTTCAGTTTGACATACAAACAAGTCAAAGCACTCTTTTCACTTACTCTTTAATTAGAGTAATATTAATTGAAAATGTTTGTAATACACATTGAATTAATGAGTTTTATAATTGAAAGATTGCCGTGGTGCTTGGCAGTTTATAAAAATGAAATGTAAAGTACGTTACTTTCAAGTGTTCTTGAAATATCGCTGCGACACGCTATTTGCGCAAAACTATCGCACATCTCTATCGCATAACATAATACACAAGTGTGCGAATTCCATAAAGTCGCGCACGGCCAGATACGGGTCGGGTAAATATTAAACAATATCAAAATTCTTCTAGATGTAAACGGCAATTGACATAGAAAATTGTATATTTATGTCAGCGCCGAGACAGGCGGCGGCAACAGTGCATCAACAGTGTGTGACAAGTGTGTGTGCTAGTGCAAATATACATATATGTATATATATTTATATATGTAGATATATATACATATGTATATATATACATTTCTTACATATGTGTTTCACTATGCATGCTAATATACACATGTGCGTGCCTGTGTGCGAGTGTGTGTGAGTGTGAGAGTGTGACCTTCGCGCAATCATTTAGCTTGGCCGACTTTTGCCAATTATAAAGAAAGTAATAGAGCATCCTGGTCGTCGGCAGGCCAGTCCGTCGTCCATCGTCCGTCGTGACCACTGTGCGATGGCAGCGCTGCCAGCTGCTCAACCGTTGGTTGCAGTTGCTGCCAAAGCACATTAAATGGCAACACTCTGGCATTTGATTATGCTGCGACTTAATTAGATTCCGCAGCCACCTGAGAGAGCTTTTAGCAGGGCAGCAACAGCAGCAGCAAGCGCATACACTAATGAACTCTACTTATGCTTTGCTTTATAGTTGACAACACCAACACCAACAACGACAACATCAATAACAGCCGCTCTGTGTTAATAGAAGACGCCACGTTCTTCATTGTAAACAAGTCTAGTCAACAAACAGACCAAATGAGCGCACACTCCAGTTAAACCGAGCAGCACAAACCAAATAATCAAACACGACACACACACGCACACATATACACCCACCCACACACATACACACACAGATAGGTCATCAAGATGCGCGTGGTGGCAATGGTGAGTGGCGGCAAGGATAGCTGCTACAACATGATGCAGTGCGTCGCCGAGGGTCACGAAATTGTCGCACTTGCCAATTTGCATCCCAAGGATAGAGGTAAATGCCGATTCCCATACGAGTATATCTCTCGCTTATAGTTAACTCAATTTCTGGCCACTCTAGATGAGCTGGACAGCTTTATGTATCAAACAGTTGGCCACATGGGCATTGAGATACTCGCCAGTGCCATGGGCCTGCCTCTGTATAGGCGCGAGACCAAGGGCAAGAGCTTACAGACCGGCAAACAATATGTGCCCACCGATGATGATGAAGTCGAGGATCTCTACAGTTTGCTGGAAACGTGCAAGGTGAGGCCAAGCCACAAGGAAGACGAATATATTATTTATAGAGATATATGATTGTGAGCATGTACATATGTATGTGTGTGTTTGGTTGAGTTGGAAAGATTGAGGTTAGAGATTAGCGATTATCGATGCAAATAGCTGACGAATGACGCTAATAATGACGCTCACCTTTATACCCTGTAGTGCAGTGTGAGAGAGGGCATATAAGCATAAGGAACTACTAAGCTCAGCTATCTTAAAGAAATCAAAGAACATTTCTAATGAAATTCAAGAAATTCCACAAAGATACTAAAGATTCTGTAGAAACATATATCTATCGTGTTACCTTATTACAGGGTATTTGCTGGTGCAGCTTGTCTGTGTGGCCCATGGAAACCTTTGTTGATTGTCTGTAAAAATGTCCTTGAACAAGTTTACGCCCCACCAAACAATTCGAATATAAATTATAATTGCGGAAATTAGTTACACAGTGGGCAAATCGTTTAATCTTATCAAAAATGCCGACAAGCACGTGAACTATGTAGGGCTAGCAGTATATGTATTATATATATTGTGCATATATAAATTGATTAGAGCACTCGCTCGATGGCAAAGTACTTGAACTTTAAAGATGCGCCACAGCCAAATGATGCCATAACTAAGTGGGTCATAAATCGAATAACTATTTGATTCATGGCCAAAACAGAAATGAAGTAGAAGCAGGCCTAATTTCACTCTGCTCATAGAGTGTTGCACTTTGAATTGCTTCCACTTGATTGGTTTAGGGTCGTAACTCAGAATCTGTTTGATATATTGGCCTAAAATTTGGTATGGGGCACGTAATAATAATATGTCAAGCTAAATTGAATGAAGCATATGAACAAATTAGATATTCGACTATAGATTATAGCTATAGCATAATATGATATATTAAACTTGAAATTAGTTTGAGCTGAATACGAGTGGAATGCAAAGAGAGATATGTATAAAGAGGCAGAGAATGCTATATATACCTAGCCATGTTCCATGAAGGAACATCGGCAATGGCCGACTGCTGAATACTTATTCACAGTCAAAAATAATAGAGGATCTCAATAGTGTTTGTGTTTCTATCTCTAAAACTATCAAAAATACAGTTATTACCAATTTACCACGGCCCAATGAACTTAGATAGATCCACCATATATATTTTTTTGTGTTGGCTATGACAGTAATACATTCCAAATATCAGCTCTCATTCAGACATTTCACAAAACCCATATGCTCATTTTACTGTCGTGAATGAGTATGCAAAAACTTATTTTCCCTAGTTTATATAATCACAATTTGAAAACTATTTAAAGTACAAAAATAAAATGGATTTGATAAGAACTAAATAGATACATATGTCTATAATATTACATAATATCTATATATATTTGATAATTTGTATTTGAAAAAGGGGAAAGAAAAGAAATAGAATCATTTGTACTATTACATGCATTACATTATGATAGCATCGTCTATAAAAACTATTTATATATGTACATATATACAAACAGATTCATTTATCTAGAGACTAGTTTTATTTAAAGACATTTCGTGTTGCGTTCCATTTGACAGCACGAACTAAACGTGGAGGCGGTTGCTGTTGGTGCCATATTGTCGGATTATCAGCGGGTGCGCGTGGAGAACGTCTGCAGCCGGCTGAACCTGATATCCCTGGCCTATTTGTGGAGGAGAGATCAGACTGAACTGCTGCAGGAGATGATTGACTGTCAGGTGCACGCCATTATCATCAAGGTAAACCGAATGATGCACTCATCATGATCCACCTCATTCAGTTGAGCTCTGCCCATTTCCATTCATTTCCATAGGTGGCCGCATTGGGCCTGGTGCCGGATCGTCATTTGGGTAAATCGTTGCGCGAGATGCAAACGCATCTGCTGAAGATGCGGGACAAGTATGGATTGAATGTGTGCGGCGAGGGTGGGGAATATGAGACATTCACGCTGGACTGTCCGCTGTTCAAGCAGCGCATCGTGGTCGAGGATATACAGACGATAATTAGCAGCGCGGATCCCATCTGCCCCGTTGGCTACATTAACTTCACGAAGCTATCGCTGCAGCCGAAGGAGCCAAATGCCGGCGGCGATGTGGTCTTCGTGAAGAAGTCCCTCGACTACATAACCGATCTCAATGAGTCCACGTACAGCGATCTGAGCGATCCGGACTTCAGTGAAACGGAACTGGAGCTGATTGAGAAGGAGACACGTCTGCGCGAATCGTTCAGCCAGAACGAGCTAATATCGCGCAGCAATTCGTTCGGCCGGCACTTGGCCACATCATCGTCCTCGCCGATACCCATTGTAACGAAGAGCGCCAGCGTCGACGAGCCCATACCGACGGCCAGCTGCATAACGGGCAGCGCTTCGCTGCTGCTGCTCGGGAATGCGAATGCGAATGCGAATCAGTCGACCTCCGCATCCGCATCCGCACTGGCATTGGGCGGGGCAGGCGGCGCAGGCGGCGCATTGCAGGCGAACAGCTGCTGCGGCTTCGGCAGCTCCCATCCATTGGGTAGCAGCACGGCCGCCGTGTGCGGCTCGCTGTCGCTGGCCATCTCCTCGCTTGGGCTGAGCACCACGCAGTGCAACAATAATGCGGCGACGACGACGATGCCAACGGGTCTCACCCAGCCGCCCAGCCCCATGAAATACGAGCGGGAATTTCGTCCACTGGCCAACCAGGCCAGGGCGGCCATCAATGCCAAGGGCTGGATGTGGCTGGCGGGCATACAGGGTAACCAGCAGCACTTACAGACACTAACCCATAATCGATACGCAATATCC